CTTAGGGAACTGGGGATGTTTAGCCTGGAGAAGAGAAGGTTGAGAGGGAATATGGTAGCCCTGTTTAAATATTTGAAGGGATGTCATTGAGGAGGGAGCAAGCTTGTTCTCTGCTGCTCCAGAGAATAGGACCCAGAGCAATGGATGCAAGATACAGGAAAAGAGATTCCACCTCAACATTAGGAGGAACTTCCTAACAGTGATAGCTGTTCGACAGTGGAACACACTCCCTCAAATTGTGGTGGCGTCTCCTTCTTTGAAGGTCTTTAAACAGGGGCTGGATGGCCATCTGTCAGGGATGCTTTGATTGGGAGTTCCTGCATGGCAGGGTGGTTGGACGAGATGGTCCTTGGGGTCTCTTTCAACTCTATGATTCTATGATTATATGAATGCCAGTCATCCATTTTGGGATCCTTTTTAAAGCTTTGGGTTTTTTCCCTCCTTTATTCCCCCCTCCCCCATACCTTTATTGAAGAGGTGTTTAGCTACAAGGCTCATTTTACATTAGAAAGTTAACATCAGTTAACACAAGAAAAAAGGAAGATAACAAGCCATCACCAGAAATATGGATCTAGACATATGGTGGATCTAGTAAAAATGGCAGCTTGGTTTAGGTTTTGTAGCCTGTGGGTTTGGTCTGAGAGTACATAAAGAGTAGATCTTGGGTTCAGTAGAATAACTAGTCTTTTAATATATGTCATGTACCAGGAAACCCTTATCTCTGTTCAACCACTGATGATGGACTGCAGTTTGTTGATATACTCCAATTCTCTTGTTTCTGTTTACAGTCTTCCTTTGTGATCTTTCTGTTCAAGGACCGCTGTTCTGTTTATATTGATCGATGGATAAGTCGACCCAGTTTTTTTGTCTTGATTTTTCAACTAACATTTCTAGACTTATACATGAGTCTGTACAATATCCATTTCCCCTTCTGGGTTGCTCCAGCCATTGTATGCCATGATATCTGAACCGAGCGAACTATGATCCAGCTCTAACCTCAAAAACATGTTTGGTAAGTTAAGGTCATTGCTGGATCTACCTGGAGACTGAGGAGAGAATTTTCCCTTGTGCCCCAAGAAAGGATTTTGTTTGTTCACCGCATCTTCTAGATTCCCTAAATTCACAAATGGCAAAAAAGGTTTTTGGAATTGAGCTAAAAGCCTCGAGATTGGGAGCCTGTAGTCTGTGTTAAGAGACAAAGCATTTATACTTGTTCAGTTTGATGTGTGCTATGTTCTTCGGATATAGTGGTTTGAGTGTTGGACTTTGACTCTGGAGGCCAGAGTTCGATTCCCCTCTCAGTCATGAAACTCATTGGGTGACCATGGATAAGTCACACACTCTCAGCCCAGGGGAAGGCCATGGCAAACCTCTGAACAAATCGTAACCAAGAAAACCCCATGGTAGCTTTGCCTGAAGGAGGGTTGCCATAAGTCGGAAATAACTTGAAGGCAAGCAAACACATGTCTTTCACATCATTGCACCCAGTTGAGTGCTGTCTCTCCTTCTCTCTTTTGAATTGCCAA